CTGGCACTAGGCACCATATCCTTCATAATATCCATTAGCAAGCAGCCTCATAACTTTTAGCACTGGATTTCTACTTCAATGTAACACGTGTCACTCACAAGTGCACATCCCTTCTCTTTCTCTCAGCAGGCATTAGTTACCTGGTTAAAGTTAACTAGGTAACTAGTTAGCAGGTATCTAATCAGAGATCCCTGCTCCTTCTAACAACATTTCCCTTAAATCTAAAGGGCAGTGTCTTCCTGTTCACAAAGAAATTACTGAAGTGACATAGAATCTCTTTAACTAAATTCTAACAAAATGTTTTTGGTCTGAACAAAATTAATCTGGTGCCCTATGTTTTAAAAGAGTTGAAGTTGTTGACTGTTGTGACAACCTTCCTATCCCCCTCAGTCCACAAATCTGTGATGTGGGTGCTTTGCAGTGCTAAAGAGCAAGACAAATGGTTTCACAAGATATTTTCACTGCCTCAAAATCCTCTTGAAGACCTGAAAGCTTACTGCTAATTTATCAGGATTCAAAACAGATACCATCTGCCGAGTATTCTTTTTTTTTCTTCCTTTCAGGTAATCAGTCTGTACCATGGTGACTTGTTTTTCTGCCCTCTAGTAATAGTCCCTGGAAGGGGGACCTCTTGTGCACCAGCATGCCAAGATTATTGCTCATTTATTTCCGAGTTTGGAGGTGAAATCATGTAGCCTCTGCTTCTTGACCTTGATGGTCAGGGTAACATTTTTATAGCTTTTTCTTTAGGTAATTGAAACCAATTTTCCTTTTCACCTAATCTTTTTACAACAATATGCTCTTAAATGAATAAACAGAAAAGACTAGAAAAGGCTTTATCAAATGATGCTACCAGTTAATCAGAATCTAGAGACTAATCCAGAAAAGGCAAAAATCAATAAATTTCAATAGAAAACATGCATTCTCCATTGTATCCTATTACACATAATTAGCTGATACTGGAATTGAAAGAGCATTAACAGTTGTCAGATAGAGCTTGAAATATTTTGAAATACTGTAGATCAAAGTTTGTTAACCTTGTGTAAAGTGACACAGGGAAATCAAGCAAATATAAAGCTAAAGCTATGCTATGAGCCTTGGGGTCTATATTATAAACTGTAGCATTATTTTTATGTTCTCTCTTTAAACAATATTGAGACATTTTGATCAGGCTAATCTTTTAAAAATAATGTTCTCCTGTCCAACTTTTATATATTCTCATTATTCTAATGAGAATATATATCTGTTCATCCATGTTTATTGGGTTGAAAGAAAACTGGCTCCTTGTCCTGGTTGAGGGCAAATCTGGGAGGAAACTTCCAAAGAGGTCATTCTAGAAGGCACATTCAAGTGATCCTTCCCCCTACTGGTTCAGGAAAATATTTCCTTGGTGAAAAGTGGAAAAAACCCAATTTATTTAACAAGCAAAGTATTATCGAAGTTCACTTTCTGAAAACAAACTCTGCACTTCTTCTCCCCTCTTCGCTCTTGGAACCAGTCTTAAAGGTGCAGAACTTAATATCCAGCATAAACAGGACAGACAAATGGGGATACAAGCATCATAAAGTCACTCAAGGACATTCCTCTTTGATCATTAAGAGGCACTCTGTCATAATTATAACCATCCTCTAGAAAATACAAAATTCACAGAAATTGACTTGACAGAGACAAAAGTGAAAGAATGATTTGAGTTTGCCAAACCTGTGGATAAGAAAGTACAAATAAATCTGATTTTTTTACTCAGTAGGAAATTAGAATGAGTGAGCTCTTGAACACCCATGGGAGATTGGGAGGATAGCCTTGTGATCAGAAAAGGATGTTTTCTCTACAGTAGATTAATAGTCTGCCTTCTAGGGTTCTCCACTTCGAATGAAAGAAGAGCACAGAATGCAGAAGGGGCAACTTAATGAATGCTGTGTGACTTTCACTGAGGTGTTTCACCTTTCTACAGTGAAGCAAGAGTTTGTCTGATAGAAGGTGTGGATTATTTTTTTCCAGAAACATAAAGGTGCAGTGACAGAACCAGAGTTGGAAGATATTCCTCTATTTTAAAAGCTGGCTATGGCAATGAAAAGGACCTTAATGATTACACTTAGAAAATGGAAGGCAAAAACTTATGTTGGCTGTTTGTGTGTTATTCAGAAGGTTTTACTGATGTCTTCCACTCACCATGGTAGGTTAGATCAATCATAAACTAATTATTTTTTTCATACAGGTTCATGTAGGTGATGATTTCAGTTTTTCTCATTATTCTATTTTCCCTTGCATTGCCTATACATGAAAGAAAAAAACCAACAAAACCACAAAGAAACGATCCATAACAATGTTTAATGACTGCTGGATTCTTATGTCATTATTTAGCCACTTTAATTTCCTTAATTTTATCAAATTCAACTAAATGTTGGTTGGATTGATCTACATTTTTGAAACTATCATCAGCAGGAAAGCTATGGTAATCAACATTAATATGTTGATTATTATAACTATGTCTACCTGGTTCCCTTCCCCTTCCTTTCTGCCCCTTCCCTTCTTTTTCCATTCCTTTCCTTTCTCTTTCCTTCCCCATTCCCTTTCCTTTCCCTTTCCTTCCTCAAAACCTTTTTTAATAAGCTGATTTTCCAAAATTTGATGAAAAACAAATTTAGTGATTTTTTTTCCTTCTGTCAGCTGCATGAATTTAATGCCTGAAGTAAAATTTTACATTACAGACAAAATTGAGATTATTCAGTATGATTTAGACCAACCTCTCAGTTACAAAATTATTTCCATTTCCTTTTACTCTCTTTCTTGCAAGCTGCAGAAATCAATCTAACAATATAGCCGGAAGAAAAAAAATATTAAAAATTACACTTTCATTTTTATAACATTTCTTAATGCTATCCCATCTTACACATTCTATAAAATAAGTGAGATTGTATTATGGATCAGTGGACCATCACTCCAGGCTAGCCCTCTTGTATGATCACACATAATTTAAAGAGAATATATTTCTATAATCTCCTTTTAGTTTACAGCTTTTCAACCATGCAAAGCGGTTTGCTAGCAAATAAATAAATAAATAAATGCATCCTTGACACATTTATAGTCTGGTGACGGTGAGGGCAAAAATTGTTTAAAGTCCAAGCAATCAGACTATTACCGGGATTACGTGGGGAGGGGGAAGGGGCGCGCAGCACTTTGAGCAGAGCGAGGAAGGAATTGCTGGAAGCAGCGAGGGGGGAAATTGTCCATCCTAGCGCTGTGCTCTGCTGCCACCTTGGCCGCGCCGCGGGACGTGCAGGCGGCCCCGCGGAGCTCGGGCTGCGCGCCCGCGGAGCGCTCCTGCCCTGCCCGGCCTGCGGAACCTCCCTCGGACAGCGCTACTGGCGGCCCCGCCCGCGGCACTGCCGTCACCAACTGGACAGGGATATTTGTGATGTCCAAAGGGTCGGTTTGGGGGCAGTTTTGGGAAGGGGGGGTTGAGCGTGGCTGGGGGTTGTTCTTCAAATGAGGTTCATTTGCCTGCCGTGCTTAAAATCGGAAATTGGAAATGTGGATGGGAGGAGGATATTTTTTTTTTCAGTCCTTTTGCTTACTGTAGGATTCATCTCCTCCCTTGTCCAGCCTTATCTTACACATCTAATGAAGAAAGCACTGAAATTCCCATTCACACACATCTACCTGCCTCTCCATCCTTCCTACAGCATGACCACAGGGGCTCTGGAAGGACCTCCCGGAATACCAGCTGCAGGCAGAGGTCGTGTGTTTCCCCCTCCTTTTTTTCCTTTTTTTTTCCTTTTTTTTTTTTTTTTCTTGGGGAGGGTGGGGGCAGAGAAGGGTGACAGAAATATCATAATGCACTGAAAATATATATAAATGAATACTAGGCAACCAATAGAGTTTGTTAGTCGTGTTTCCCTGTTGTCTTGTGTTCTTGACATCGGGCTCTGGGATGGTGGTACACACTTTGGAAAGCTTTCAAGCACTTCATTACTTCGTTTCATCTTTGAATTGCACTTGCTTTTCTCTCAGTTTTAAGGTTTCTTGTGCTTAGGAGGAAACATGCTCTGACATGTTGGAGTTTGGTGGTGGCAAATATTTCCTTTGAGTACAAAGTGCCTGTGTGAAAAGGGCTTTTTTTCCTTTCTTTCTTTCTTTCCTGAAAATATGTTTCTTTCTCACTTGCTCCTTTCTCTGTTGTAGTTAATAACCTGTAAAAGAGCTGATTCTGGAGATCTGAGTGAAATGGCACTTTTGAAATCGTGCTTTTAACCGCTGGGGAAAGTGCAGAAGCTCTGTATACGTGCATATAAGAGGAACTCGTGCCATGCAGATGAGTTTGCAGACGCGGTGACAGAGAGGGACCGCAGGTGAGTCCCCAGCGATCTGCTTTGCCAAGAGGATTTTCCAGCCCCCTAATCACAGAAAAGCCCTCCATCTGCTCCCCAGAGCTGGCGGTTCTCATCTGTTTCAAGTGAAAATAACCAAGAATGTAAAATGGCAGGTAAAAAAGAATGCTCAGCCAAGTAGCCGCGTTGTCCTGCATTCCCCCAGCCAGCATTCCCCGGTGCTGGGGTCTCGCTCCCCGGGCGAGAGAAAGAGCTGCAAAGGGTTAAGCCGCTGACTTTCTCGCTAGGCAAAGTTTGAGGAAGAATATGTCTGAGGCTGGATACGCCGCAGCCCCGCGTTTGAAATCTGTCACCCTCACTTAGGAGCGCTGCATCTCTGCTTGTCACCGGTGAATAATGACGGCACGGCGATAAGATTGCTCGGCGGCGGTGCGCCGGGGCCGCCTGCGGGAAGAGAAGACAGGAAATTGCGAGGCGTTTAGCCGCTTCAACGGGGTGTTCCTCTGTGTCATCGGTGGGTGTCAGGGTCAAATGACCGGCTGGAGAGCAGTTTGGCAAGATAATTTCTTTCCTCCTTTCCTTGAGAGCAACCTTGGGTGTTGGTGACCAGCTATGGAAAACAGAGACCTCGGTGGTGATCCTTAACACAGTACCATGCTGGAGCCCAGCCGTGCTGCCACTTTCTCCCCTTTCAACCTGCCGGACCCGGTGGGCTTTGGGTGACCTACCGAGGAGGAACTCACTTCCGCAGGAGCAGGTAACGCCTGATTAAGTCACTTTCTGGATTGGCACAGTCTTGATTTGACCAAAACGCGTCCTGAGTATCATTCACTGGTTTGAAGTATAAACTGGTTGAGGGTCCAGGGACCGGGAGAGGAACAGGAATAATTCCGCCTTATCCCTCTGAGACTGGGGAGCAGGGCAACTGCCTGCAGCCTTGCAGAAGTTTTTAACATTCCCACTGTCCTCCCTAATTAGGGGCACAGAGGGCAGAAATACTTGTGATCGACAATGGCCAGCTCTGCCTCCTGTGCTGACGACAGGTTGCTAGTATCGGGGACGTGGAAAACAGAGGGACAGGTGGATTACACATGAGAAAGAGAGGTTTGTCCGCCAGAAAATGCACTGGCTGTCCATCAGTTCATGAAGGTGATATA